TCGATTAAACGTAATAGAATAAGTGAAAAACATGTCAGTAGCGGACAATGTTTGTGTAGTTTTATTTGTATGCAGAGATATATTCTGAAGACATAATCTTGAATAACACTTGATTTGCACTTGAAATTTACCCACTTAGATAAACAGAGATGCATAGTTTTCTACTCCTTTGATCATATCCGGTGGCCATATTGATATATTTGACAACTAGCAAGCAGTTTTAACATCCGATGTGAAACAAAAAGTTAGACGAAGCGGGAAGAGATATAAAGCTATGTTTACGAAATAAGACTGAGGGAGTTAACATCAGCGAAGAGACACAGAAAAATATCAAATATACAGCGAAAAAACAATAAAGTGAAAAAAGTATACGTAAACAACCTAAACTACGAAGATCATTACAATTTAAAAAGATTATCGAAAAACGTGTTATCGATATATCTAGAGACAATTAGATATATTTACATGGACATGTATATATTATTGTCTTTCGGACTTTGTTCATGCTCATGAACACTTAAGTGTTATGAACATCAACCAACAAAATGTTCTTATTGTGAGAAACCAAAGGTACCCAAAGTTTTTACATTAACCTGTACAAAAAAGACAACAGCGAACACAACATAATATGTATTAAGAAAACTGCAAGCAAAGGAAGTGCAACATCTTACAGTCTCTATACCTATACGTATCCTGATTATTCATGCATTTACATATTGTACATACCATTTCTGATACACATTCTCTACAGAGTTTAATCAAGGATAATAACCGTATAAAACCTACTTCCTTATTTAAAATTTTATGTTCAGTCTTCCAAAATTTAGATCTATCTAACTATACCAGACTTAACAAGGTCACCATACAGTAAAAAAAAATAACTGTGTTGTGACACTGAATTTTATTCTTATGTGCTATCTTAAACTAATTATAACGCAAACAAACCAAGCACCTAAATTAGCGGAATAGTTGTTGCTTCTTTTCTGTGTAACATGTATTTCAAGTTCATTTAAATATGGAAAGGAAATCTTATATAACAATATCTGTTTCATAGAAGACAAAACAAGGGGAATTCCGCTGTACTTTTTCCCCATTCATAGAGTTATCCCCCTTAATTATGTTTGAATGTTACTGCTGTTGGGTTTATTAAGGGAACTACCTCAATCTAAGTAGCTTTATTGGTTAGGTCGACCTTATTGTAGTTTGAAATCCCGGGTTCGAATCCCGGCCAGATACAGTCTGTTCCTCTCATAACACTTTGTTTCATTTCATCTTTATTTTCTCGTACAAATCTCCGTAAGATATGTTTCTTTTCAGGAAAGACCTATTAAAGCACTTGACATGAAATTCGAAACTATTTTTGCTAGTTAACATAAGTGGCAGTGAAAGGGTATCTTTTATTAAAAGACACACATTTAGAAATGAACGATAATCGTGCATTTTTGTGTACAATGAACCAGAAACAAAAAAAGACAACAACAAAATCTGTGGTTTGCAGTTTGAAGGTCTGTTAAACTTGACACTGCTGATGATAGCGTATTAACTCCTTTTATATCTCTTTAACCTTGTCTCATTTCACCATTGTATTATTACACACCTTCGTAAAGACTAGACAGTGTTAGTTATACTCCTTACACCTAATTGACACTTTCTTTCTAGAGACGAGAAGTTGACCAGTGGTGGATTATTTTCGTTTGTAATGAAACCCTGGTAGCTGATTTTTTTTTGTATATGAAACATTACAATAACTTTGGATGTATCATTTTGGGCGAAATGCAGTGCTGGATGCCTTCGGCATGGTATTCCAGTGAGCTATCACTATAAAGTCGGCACCAGATACACGCCATCAGAAGGAAGCAAGTATGCCAACATACCCTGTCTCCGGCACACATACACAAATTCACGCGTATACCACACACATTGAGGCTAGTTGTTAATAGGACGTAAAACAATATAAAACTAAACCATAACTTTCCTCCACATAGATTACAAAACATCTGAATACAGATATAACATGCTATTTTGTGCAAATTATATGTAATTGCTCTTACTTATATTCGCCGTATCACTACCAAAAGCCGTATCAGCCTCCGCCGTATCACACCCCAAAACCCGTATCAGCCCGCAAAACCGTATTACACACCAAAACCCGTATCAGACCGCAAATCCCGTATCACACCCCTTTTGGATTTTTTTCTTTTTTCAATAATTCAAAAGAAAAATAGATTATATGATAGTATGTTTTATTAGTAAGCATGTAATTAACAGAATAAAGCATGTCTTCTTTCCATATCACACCCAGTATCAACCCTCGACCAATATCAGCCCTCGGGCCTTCTGCCCTTGTGCTGATATTGCAGTCTCGGGTTGATACTGGGTGTGATGTGGAAAAAGGCATGTATTTTTCTCTCTAAATATATTGTAGTTATCAGTTAAGTTGATGAATAAAATTTCGCGGAGGGATAGTTTTGCTCCGATTTACTAGAAGCCAAAAAACGCACACTTTTCCATGGCGCAAAAATTACCATTTTACGTCATTTGCAAGTGTAATACATGACCAGAATGATTTGGTTTATTATTATCTTCAATCAATATATATTTAGAAATGTGTCTTGGTGAATAGTGTTCAGTCTGCTGTGTTATTTGTATGATGCATTTGCTATCGTCTTGATTTTGCCCCATGCTAGACATAGAACAAGTTCACAGCAAAGCATATTGATGAAATAGTAAGGACAACAATTGTAAAAAATACATTTTGTGCATAAATACACTGTACATGTTAGAACAATAGAATAGCAGTAACCAGTAACTTGTTATCAAGAAACAAAGAAAACTTTCGAAAAAAATTCGCTTTAAATGTATTGCAATTTAGGAAAGTTCAAACAGAAGTCATACATGGCAAAGTGAACTCCTTACCATTCCAGGGGAACCAAGTTTAACTTATTTGAACCTTGTTTGATGTCTTTGTTTTCGCTGAGGGAAATATTTTTCATAACATTTGAAATTTCTTTGACGAATATAAGGTTAATGTTCTTCTTTTTGGAGCTTCGTTTTTTCATTGTTAATACACAAAGTAGTATATCATATCTTTATCAATTCCACTAGGTACACATTTTTTAATGATGATTGGTATTATTGTTGATGAAAATGTAGTTTATAATTTTATTTTTCTTAAATTCTCTTTCTTGTCTTGTTGTTATGTTTCCCCTTCGAATGAAGTGATGCATATTGTATTAGTCCTGGTTCTTTTTCTTCTAGTGTTTTTTTTTTCTAATCGCAATTTGTCCGGGCCATAACTTTTACACCGTTAAAGATATCTGGATGAAACTTGAGGTATGCATGCATCACCCACAGACGGTGCACAGGAAATTAGAAGTTTTGAATAAATTATTGAAAATGTTGCTCTTATTTCACCTCCAGGTCAAAGGTGAAATAAGTGCAACATTTTCAATAAATTATTGTCCGGCCCGTACATTTTAAATCATTAAAGATATCTTTATCAAACTTGAAGTAAACCTGCATCACCAACATAAGGTGTTCAGTGCACTGGAATTAGGTATCGTTCCCCACTATATACAGAGTAATGGCCCTTTATTTTTTTAATATCAAAGTTTGTCCGGGGCATGAGTTCCATGTTATTTCACCTACAGTGTACGTTGTCCAAACTTACCTTATTTATGCATCTTGGGAAGGCGGAATCCCCTGCACTGAAATGGGGTTTTGTGCCAGGGTTATGACCCTTTGTTTATTTTCAATACCGAAGTTTGTCCGGAAAATACGTTCCAAGTTATTTCACCTACGTTGACCAAATTTATCTTATTTTTGTATCTTAGGAAGGCGGAATCTCTTGCCCTGAAATCGGGTTTTGTGCCCCACTATATACAGAGTTATGACCTTTTTATTATATCGTAGTTTGTCCACAGCATAACTTCTAAACCGTTAAAGATATCTTAATAAAACTTGCAGTACACCAGCATCACTTACAGCAGGTGTGTTGTGCACTAGCATTTTGTCTCGTGCCACAATTTATACAAAGGTATTGCTCTCTGTTTATTTCTAATATCGAAGTTTGTCCGGAGCATAAGATACATGTTATTTCACCAATGTTGACCAATCTTACCATATTTATGTATCTTGGGAAGTAGGAGTATCGCATTTTAAATTCGAGTTTTGTGCCCCACTATATAAAGAGATATGACCCTTTGTTAATTTTTATACCGAAGTTTGTCTATTGGCTAATAAGGGAAGGCATATGTTTTTGTTCACAACAACAAGTTTCTCTCCCCCCCCCCCCCCCCCCAAAAAAAAAGCTCCCTCGCCCGGTCATGTTTTATTTCTGAAAATTCATCCACACAGGAAATAGCTCAATATCTTATGACTTGCTATTATTATGTTTGTACACTACAGCATAACATTTGATACACGTAGCAGTACTTCAAATATCTTGTGAAGTTATGTTGTGTTATTTCCTATGAAACAATAAACACAAGTAACAAATGTGTTCTCTTTATTGCATTTACTGATTTCGGTATATCTGCAAGAAGACTTACGAACATTCGGTATAGACATTTTTTCTTCGTCTAGGGGGTCTTTAGTATACAATGTAAACCTTTATTGAAATGCATCATTACTTTGTCATTTTGCCGTCTAAGCAAAATCCTCGTGATGAATATCGGCAAATGCATTTGCAAACCATACTCTTAATATTAGGCGTAGTAACACGACAACAAATGCCCCATCTGGTATTCTTCAAAGACTGTTAAGCCAATAAAACGTGTTTTGTATATGGTTAGGTTATTTGTTAATATCTGTTTAGCATATTTACATTTTAGTCAACTAATCGCTTTATTCTGTATGTACGCTTCACTACAAAACAACTGACCATATAAAATGTTGATACCGTTCCCTACCATATGTTACTGGTGCTGGCCTATGATTGGTCAAATCTCTTTCTATTTCTTGTATAAAAGAAGAACGTTTCAAACACAAATCGAGTTGGCTCCAAACATTTTAGAGAAATGGCCATCCGAAAATTGTCGCAGGGCTACGGCCTTTGGATATGTGTGCTGCTTGCTGCAACATGTGAGTACACCTTTTAGTTTAAACTTTGCCTTTTTATAGTCTTGATATAAAAAAAAGTTATACATCAGTATGTATTACACTTTCCCTTGAAACTAATGTTTGAGGGGCAATTTATATATTCATTGTATTCATAATAAATTTCACCTGTCAAACCTCTGACTCAAGGAGAATTCCAGGTTGCTTCAAATATCACACTTCCTTTGATAGATGTCAACTTCGGACGGTGAAGTAGGGTTGTGAAACCTATTGGCCGGTTTTCTTAATCTTATTAAAATGCCAATGAGAATATTGTATTTCCTTATACGAAATGAAGATCGATGATTTAGATCATACTCATCTTGTGGTAATGTTCCTACTCTCAGGTTTTAATGCTTCACATTACTTGTATTTGACTTCCATTTACATGATGGTTGTCGTCGTTAATACAGAAGACCCATATTTTTCCGAAACACTTTGCTTAAATTTTCCAGCTATTTCTATATATTCATAAATATATTTACAATAGGTACGTCTTGTTTTCCGCTCACGACGTTATATCGGCAGGCGTCGAACAAACTTAGACACTAATTGTCATAAGATACTTGTTTCACTATAAACATGCAATGTGTTTCAATACTTAGTTATGGTTGTTGTTCTTAAAACAATTTAATATAATAAGATGTAAATGTATTTTCGACATTTACGCATTGTTTTATGATTCAGTTTGGGTGATATTTATGTTTTCAAAATATGTTTTAATGTTCATCAAACGTGTCTGTTTAAAATTTGAAATAAATGATAGAAATAGTTTGCTAAGGCAAATGTTATGCTAAACAATAACAAGACATACTTGTTTCTGTGACATACATATACAATGTAAAAGTTAGGTATTTACATTTATGTGAGTCGTTAAACCATCTTTTTACTAACTCTATATCTAGCACTTCTATAGTTATCTCCTCGATGACTTTTTTTACTTGTTACAGAACTGATAGTTTTATTCAATGTTTATTCAAGTAATTTGTGCCAAACAAAGGTAGATGTAGAGGTAGCAACGGAAAACATAGAGTTTATATTCAACCGTTCACCGGCAGGTGTGTATTTTATGAATACCGGTTGATATAAGTGGTGCCAAAAACAAGAAAAGACAATTGTGTCAAAACATTGTAGAACGCGAAAGTCACGGACAGTACTGTATTTATGTTTCACCCTACACCGGTAGGTTTGTTTATACTGAACTCCAGTCAAACTCGTTCGTTGCCACCCTATTGATGCTATAACCTTAAAAAGTCCCCATTGTTTATGAAAGACAAATTGAAACAGCAAGACAATTAAGTACGGACACCTGTTTAAGTTACTGGTGAGAATTGAAACATGTTCATAGCCAATACAATACATTATTGAAAACATTTTCAGAAAGCTCTAGATTTTTCATCAATGTGAAATAACTCAATTTGTTCTTTTTTAATAATAAGATGATTTTATCTCTTCTGATCATTAGATAACTGTTAGTTAGATATATGAATATAAATAAAAATAATATAGATATATGTAACACATCGAAAGAAATTTCAGTGTTTAAATATGAACTTTATTTTTAACAACATTTAGGAGCCAATTTATTGCATCTAATATAAATCACCCGAATGGAAGAACTCAGAGGGTCTTAATGTTGGAGACAATCGGGTTACTAGGAGAAAACCCATATATTCATTGTTTAATTTACAGATCAAAATTGATACGTATCATAAACTTTGAAAACAATACAGTTTTAACGTTAATGTTTTGACGACGTTATATTGAATACCCTCTTTTTTGTGACGTTCTTGTATAATGTGGCTGTAATTGAAAGGCTTGTCACACATAATATAAACAGTATTATTGAGGTTTACATTATCATAAGTAACTAAATATTTTTTGTGTTCTCCAAACAATAGGATACTCAGATATTTATGAAATGAAACAGGTTCATGTGAGGTTATTATATATATATATATGTTTATATTAGATGTAAAAGAAGACGTCTCTACTGTGTTCACAGCCAATAATAATGACGTTTTCTGTTTTAATAGATGCCGATCACATCCAAGACTACGGCGGTGGAGGAGGTTTTGTTGATGGCGGCGCAGGAGGAGGGTATGGTGGTCCCTCACATGTTGTTGTCGGCGGATATGACGATCACTCACATGGCGGTGGCGGCGTTGTATATGACGATCACTCAAATGTCGGCGGTGGCGGATATGGAGATGCCTCACATGGCGGTGGCGGCGTTGTTTATGACGACCACTCATATGTCGGTGGGGGCGGATATGGCGGTGCCTCACATGGAGGTGGCGGCGAAGTATTTGTTGACCACTCACATGGCGGCGGCGGCGGGTATGATGATCACTCACATGGTGGTTCTGGAGGAGGCAAAACGCATTGCTGTGACAACGCTGACCTGATAAACGGCAGATGTGTGTGTAAAGCCAATTACAGAGGACATAGCACTCATCCCTGTGACAGTAAGTATTAATCGTTGTTAAAGGTCATACCCGCTTCCTACTGATGATTGTTGTTATAGTAGCAATAGCTAGTTTTGTCAAACTCAAATTGATTCATTTACATAAACATAGCATGTGGTCTACTACCTTTAATATTTGAAATTATGCATTTTGACAGGTCAAATAGAACATCATAATGTCATTATTAAACAGTATCTCCCTATTCGTTATGGTGATCTGTTAATACCATATTTTTTTCCGCATTAGAAAAGACATTACGAAAGACATTCTTCTTCAATTGCTATATTAAACTGTTACTTGTCATATATTATTGGGACCAAATCGAAAAGTATGAATCCCTTTTACACGACACCATATTAGTTCTGATTTCATTAACAGAAAAACATTCTTAACATTTGTTTGCTTTTTTTTTGGTGAAGTCAGAATATTGCGATGAACGTCATTTCCTATGACGAGAACAATTCGGGAGGGTAACACAAATTCCGAAAGTATAGATCAATTCATCATTTTCTTTTTCAATTTTGCTTGATTTAATTTCGCTTGAATTTCAACCACCTATTCTAAATAATGAATAGGAATGAACCAGATCCAAGAAAACAAGAATATTTTTAACAGATATATTAAAATATTGGATTGAAATGTGAATTATCGTATCTTTGCTGTATTTAAGAACCTTGCTGGGACAAATGTGGAACCAATACGTACTGTAACGTGCAGGAATTTAAATGTTACTGTAAGGAAGGTTACATCGGTGATCCCTACAACGAATGTGATTGTAAGTACTTGATTACACATTGATATAGTGATTGAATCTGAATTATTCTAGTGTCCATGCAAGTATGATCGGGGGGAAATCTAGTTACACACAAGCGGCTGTAGCGAATCAAAGGCCGTTCATGTGAGGTCTATAGGTCAACACTACCAATAGAAAGGAAAACCAAAACATCATTTAAATTGCGAACTGTTTTCATTCATTCATAAATGAAGTGTAGTGATATGACGTAAACTTGCAACGTCATTTCGGGGATCTCGAAATTAATTCAAGGAAAATATTCCACGGCCGCTTCATCCGACTTGAGCAACCTTGTTGAGAAAAATCTTTGGTTTTATTTGCGAATGAGCTATAATTTAACTTAGCCAATTGAACATAGCGAAAGTTTACAACAGTGTAGCCTTGTGTACGGTGAAGTCGAGGGATGATGTTTCTAGGGGACAGAAAGACCAGGGTGATACCAGGTTTGAGGAAATAGACGTTTATTTTGACGGGAATTGCATTAGCTACACTTGTCACGTTTTTCTTTGTTTCATGGATCATTCATGGTTATCAAATATGAAAGAACTTTAATTTGTTTGTCGTGGGAGGAACATGGCGTGTCGTAATTCCGACCCTGCGTCCCTCGGGGTTCGGTTCTTTGTAGTCTCGCCCGCGCTTTGTGCGGCGTGTGTAACGATAGTCCTACTGTAGTGTTAAAATGGCGCGTTCGTCAAGTTCTTGGAACTTCGTGGATGTAAGTAAATTCACCTCAGTTGATACTTTCAAATCTTGGAACCATCCAGATTAATTCATTATATCGTCACGAATGTGATCATATTTGACATCGAAATATAGTCAGTTTGAGCTTTGTCAGATTCAAACCGTCTAAAGAGAAATCGGATAACCAAACCATCAGTTTATGCTTTCATTGGAAATTCTGAGGATGAATTATATTTATTAATAGTTGTATCAAAGGAAGAAAATTAATTGGGTGTTCTTACAAACGAAATTAGCACCCGGGGCTCACGCGAGATATTTATAGAACGCTCTTACTTCACCAATCATTCGTTTCCAGTTTATGCGAATGTCATGATCCAAATCGGATCAAGGCGTGAATTTTGCAGTATCTTACACTTCAAATGAATATTCTTTTGTCAGCGTATTAACATTCTGTGATGACCTTTGGAATTTATATAACAACAAGTATTTCTAAAGTGTGAATTTATTCCTATAGACCAAAACAGAATACATAGTCGTAGCACGCGCCATTTTCTTAAAAACGTAAACAAGACACTGACTTTTGAGTTTGAATTACGTTTTCTGGTGCTATTTGTACTTCAAAATTAACAATCTGTAGCCAAAAAATGGTGCATGGCTATCTATTATAAGACTACGTCATTGTTATAAAAAGATCTGTTGACTCTTTTATTGATTTCAAATATTTTTTGCAAAAAGTGATCCGATACTGATCTGATTTGGGTCAAACGACAGAACTTGTTTCTGTTGTGAGTATGGTCAACAGTAGATGAAAGTTATTTCTTTAAAAAATTCTAATACCTAAACTAATGAAAACTAAGACAAAGATACAATAAAAAAATAAAACAAACAGTAGATCTTTTTCATGGTGAGTTTAGTTTTCGCAATGGGAGACAACTCGAACGACAATTCAATTGCTTAGTACTGAAAATAGAAATTTAGACAATTGTAAAAGTAGTCACATGCTAAAACAGCCGTTCATAATAATATCAACAGTTGTTTTTTTGATCACATGTGCTACTATTAGCCAATCACAGATCCTGTAACAGAGTGCAAAATCAAATTTGGAATAACATGAACATACAATTCATCTAAGGACCTCATTTATATCCCATTCACATCAACAAAGCAAGATTAAATCTTTAAATAAATTTATATCATGTACATGTTTCGTTTGTCAAACTTTACCCTCAAAAAAATGTATATGACATACTCATGTAAGTGAATTATAGTATTTTGAGGCATATATTCCAGGGAATGCCAAGCATTAAATACCTGTATAGTATACAAAGCTCTGTTTTAGTGCCATGTGGAGGAAAGTGTGCCTCAAATGCTTACTGTGACAGTGTTACCAACACCTGTCGCTGTAACACTGGTCTTATCGGTGATGCCACACAGAAATGTTTCAGTAAGTATATGTTTAATACCCAAAAATCCCGATCATAAGCCAGATTTGAAAATAGGCCAGATTTAAAAATAGTAAGCTTTGAATTCCAAGCACATTTTTAAATAAACCGCCGTTGAAAAAAGGAGAGCCTAAAATGCATTTGGTTTTAAAAATATATATAGATACACAACTTTAATTCAAATGTCATGACATTTTCCATCTGAAAATAGGACTTGAGAATTAGTCAATTATGACATAACGTCAAATTGATCTCGAAAATAGGGCTGAATCGAAAATAAGCCTTGGATAACTTACTGAAATGAAAATAATACGCGGCTTAGTATGGCTAATGATTCAGATTTAATGGTATAATTTATATCATAGTATCGTTAGACAACTGAATGTGTCCTACAAATATTTAATATCATATTATCTTGAAACTTTATTTGGAAAAGAGTTCACAAATGTGGCGGTATTAAAGAAATAACAATTTTTAAATTCAAATATGTGCGTGATTTTGCCGCAAAGTGTAACTGTAAGTAAATGGTAATATGCTCTCATTATTATTGCAATAATTATTGCGACTGTCAAGGTTGACTCGAAATATATATGCATACATGTATATGATTTCATCTTTATCAGGCCCAAGTGTCATCGCATTTGCACAGTCTAGCTACACAGTGAGAGAAAGCGTTGGAGTCTTAAAGATTAAAGTTACCAGGCAAGGAGGAACATTCGGTTCTATCACTGTGGGATGGACCGTGTCCGGCGGCACTGCCACCAGCCCGTCTGATTTCACATTTGCCTTAGGTTCACTTCAATTTGGTAATGGAGACTCTGTGGAATTTATATCTGTCAAAATTGTCAATGATCAGGTAAGAATTCTTCTGTGTCATAGGCCTCCAATTTCCATAAACGTTCCAAATAATGCCATTATACAGGTACATAAATAGGATAGAATCAGATAGTTAATTACTAAAATGTATAATTACAAAGATACCTATTTCGGTAGATTTAAAGGCATATTAGAAAACAATTGTTGGGAATGATTTTCTCATGTATAGAACTTTTGTTTCATTTAACAATAATAGGGTTTATAAGTGAAAAAAAAGCATAATATCAACTGTTCAATTAACGTAACCAACTAGCAGAACGTGTATCTGTCTTACCAGTAGGATTATCATTGACATTATTAGCCTCATTCTTAAACTGCACCTGTATAGTTTAGTATATTAAGTACTAAAATAATAAGAAATATAAAAATCGATTTTATATAGTTACATGTAGTGGATATATTTGTTGTAAAAAAATATTAATTTTTAAAAACAAATTCGACTTTTTAAATAACGTGTACTTTTTCCAGGCTTTTGAGCCAGATGAGAGTTTTACTGTCACCCTGACCTCTGTCACCTCTGGCGGAACCATTGGATCTCCTGACGTCACCACTGTGACAATCACTAATGATGACAGTAAGGAATAACATTTGATTTCTTTAAATATTTATCTTATTTTGTTTTGTAAAATTTACGCATTAAATTTTCGGCCGAAAGCGATTTAAAAAAAAAAAAAAAGGTCATATCAATGCCAAATTTGTCAAAAAATGTTTACAGATATAAATTGACTTAAGTGAATTTACGTTTCAATTCTAAAAAATTGATAGTTGCACATATAATTAAACGCACGTTAAAAAGTATTGAGGTGCTGATTTTCAGGAAAAAATATGTCTGTTGCTATAATCATCAGAATATTCACTTTAGTGCATATTGTTAATGATATGTTTTTTCTCGGAATTCTCAGAACCATGCGGAGGGAAGTGTAAAGCCAATTCCTACTGTAGAGAGTCGGACAACACATGTGTTTGTAATACAGGCTACATTGGAGATCCATTAAGAGGATGCAAAAGTAAGTTATTCGTTCAGCTTTTTATCAATTATTTACAAAACAGATATTAAAGCTGACATTGTAATTGAGGATCCGTTATAGATATTAAAATAAACCATTGATATAAAGCAAATATATAACATCACCAACATAACAGATGACATTTTAACAATAAGACCGTATCAACATGGGCTAATACGAAGATACCTTAAGTTAAGGAAAGATGTAATGGGTCATAAAACAGCCCCATTCATACTAACAGAAAGAAACCTGTCGATTTCATTTACATACACATATATAATTCCAAAATATATGTTTATATGTATTATTTCCACAGGACCTTGTGATGATAAATGTAAGAAGAACTCCTACTGCGCTCCCCATGACAATAGATGCTACTGTAATAAGGGATTAGTTGGAAATCCATATAAGGAAGGATGCGATGGTATTCAGACTTTTCTTCTTTATTCTTTTTAAAATTATTGTTATTATGTTACAAACATAAATAGCGAAAATAATTGTCTGCATTTTTTTTATTCATTTTACTGTTTAAAGTCAATATCGGAGGAAAAGATGATTACAAAAGCACAAGATGAAATCTGTCTAGCTTTAAAAAAGTAACTATTTTTTATTAACTTTCCAATTAGCTACTGCAATTATCTGTTCATCACAAAAATAGCTCATGTTGAAGTCCATGTCGCTATTTGATGTATATGTTATGTATGTCTTGTTTTCAGTTCCTTGTGGAGGAAAATGTGTTCTAAATAGCTTCTGCAGAGAACGTGATAACAAGTGTTACTGTAACGAGGGATATGTCGGCGACGGATATGTCCGATGTGCCAGTAAGTAATTTGAGGCTATGGATGTTTTTTGGGGAGAATAAGCCTACAAATTAGTTGTTGTTGTCGTTAAATATAACATATGCGATAAAGCACCGGTATAACCCATCATTAATAGCTGTTGATTAGATATCCAATCGTCAATTGTGAAGTCATTATCATGACTATACGGATTGCTTCTATTAGATATACAAGCATGTGGTTTAGTTATTATGACGAAAAGCATAGTATTCGTCACATATATGTACATGTAAATTTGGACAATTTCATAAAAGTAACTTTTACAACAACAACAAAATATGAATCATATATTTCTGATTCCATATATTGTACTTCGCGTTGTTAAATTAAACTACAGTGAATTCTGTTTTTTTCAATTAATTTTCCTTAAGTTTCATTATGAATATAGTACGACACTGCTTCCCGATATTAGTATTGTCTGGTTCTTTTACAAGGAACATTGACCGGAAAAAATATTTTTCTTTCATTGAACAAACACTTTTTTTTTGCAATGAACATATCATTATTGTTGTTTCTTAAGCGGATGTAGAATACTTTTGATCATATAATCAATGAATCAAAGAAATTTTATATTAAAATGTTTCAAAATATACACGTTTTCAGAGCCTTGTGATGATGCATGTCGTCATAATGCTTACTGCAACAAGAGAGACGACACATGTTATTGTAACAAAGGATACATTGGTGATCCAAAGGTCGGCTGTGAACGTAAGTATTGATTTCTCAGCCGTACTGAAGCTATTGATATAAAAGAAGAAAGAACAAGTACATTGTTAAAAGAAAAATATAAAGCGGGAAAATATGGCTTCAATTGTAAGGAAGTGTTAGAATTTTAACAACGTAAACATCTGCGGAAAATAGAATAAAATTTAACTCAATAATTGTTGATAGAAATCGTACTTGTCTTTTAACAAAGATTTAACACCATTTGATAATTTGTTCTGTGAAAATGCACATGATGAATCAAGAGATTGCATTGGTCTCAATTCCATAGGTATATATTCCACAGCTGAATCATTTGATGTTTTGTTGATGAAAAAATAGCACACTGGTATTGTGTTTAACAGTTCCTTGTGGAGGAAAATGTGCGTCCACTGCATATTGCGACAGTGCTTCCAACACGTGTAAATGCAAGAAGGGACTTGTTGGTGACCCTCATGTTAGATGTGGCAGTAAGTACAATTTTCGTTACAGACATGAGCTTCTTAAGCCAAGGAGTGTAACACTGTATTGATATTTCTGCTATTGTAGGATATGTGACAGGGTTGTTCCTTCCTTAACAGGTGACTGATTGGTCTTAATCAAGCTTTATTGTTTTCATGTAATGTAATGTATAAATGTGTTGTAGGCATAACAAAACTAAAAGATGAGATTTGGATAAAAGAAAGGCATAATGTTAAAATCCACACATGAAATGATCCCACTTTTGTTCGATTTTGAGTTTAGCGATTCCATTAGATTAAACATAAAATGCTTTTTGTGCTTAATTTTCAGAACCATGCGACAACAAATGTAGAAAGAACGCGTTCTGCAACGGCAACAACAAGTGCCAATGCAATCCAGGATTCGTCGGGGATCCATATGAGGGCTGTGATCGTAAGTTACAGTTTTGCATTTTATTTATCATCTGTCCATTCATTCAAGTAGGGTAAAGTCAATTAAAATACAAAAGCAAAAATATCATCACAAAAGGTAATTTCGAAAAACAAAGACGGTACGAAAAGCCATTATCAGGTACCACGGATGGCAAAAGAAACAAAATGTCGTGAAAAAATCTGTACTCGCTATGAGATAGACCTACGAATATAATACTTTCTGCATTATACAGCGCTATCTATATATTTGTCTTTTGAATTTAAAGTACACGAATTTTGAAACCCTTCTGAAATTATCATTATTATCTATTTCAAAATGATAATGATATATTTTGTATCTTCAAATATTGTAGTGACTTTAGTATGCCATCATATATGTTTATTTTCTATAAAGATCATTCCTAAATGGGGAAAAGCATGGTATGTGTAAATGCTAGATACAATTGATATCAGACTTTAAACAGAAAAATAGAAAACCGCTGATAGAAATGTATTTGATATTTGAGAAGTAAAAGGTGTTATACATATTTAATTTCCGGGACCTTTCAACTTCCAATTAAGCATGCACCGTTAATAATGTATTTGATTTTATTCCTTTTCGGTCAATGCTTCAATTGAAGGTTAATGTTATAAGGCAATGTATTTTAAAAGATAAACGGTTTTGATTTAATGCCCATTGGTGCTGTTCTCTATAAAAGCAATGCATTTTTGTTTGCACTAATATTGAACGGGTAACTCATTTTTTATGATATATTATGAAAAAAAAAGACATGTCGGTCGTTCAGTGGAAGAAAACTCGTAAGTGTGTGTATAACCTTTTTAAATTATCAAATGTCAATAACAATCATGTGCATTTTGAAATAAATTGATTGGAATATCGGATAGGTATTTGACATCGTTATCTTGTGGCAGCTTAAGCTCATTGAGTCCTTCTGTGATATGGAATAGATAAGACATGATGGCGATATGCCTATTCGATTTCTAACGAGAGGTGCAAACATGCGAAGATTACATCCATTTCGTGTCTGAAACGAATTTGCATTTTGCAGAAACGATTTTGTGAAAAGATCCTAAAACAGCTTAGCATATACTGTATACGTCAAATGACACAATGAATAAAAACAAACTTAACCGGTTCTATCGAAAACCTATATTTATGTATGTGTTGTAGGTCCATGTGGAGGTAAATGCAAGACCAATGCATACTGTGATGAACACACCAACACTTGCAAGTGTAACAAAGGATATATCGGTGACCCACTGAAAAAATGTTTCGGTAAGGTCACTAGAATTGCATACTTTTCGTCGAAAATTAAAAGGTCGAATAAGAGTGTAGTACATAGTTTGGATACTATACCTGTCCAAAGAGAATTCAAATTTACGTTAGATATTTATTTTAGGTGAAATCTAATATATGAAATAACTGATGTGTTCATTCCAATGACCATTTCCAGAGAAAAAAAAATACCTAAATGCAATGTTCTGTTTAACAGTGTTTCTCTTTAACCATTGTTTTGTTTTTCTTGTTTAATCAGCAGCAATACATTCCAGACAATTGTGTTTCATAGTCTTTAAATGAGATTGTTTGAACCTATACATTGATTGATCCGCACATAAAATAAACGTTGGATATTCTTTACTGAAATTAATTACTTACGGTGATATATTCTTTGGACTTTAACAGAACCAAGTGTATTCCAATTTGTAAGGCGTGCTTACACTGTTTCGGAAAGTGCCGGATCGGTCGATATCGAAGTAGCAAGAACAAGTGGATCTGAAGGATCCTATACAGTTTCCTGGGAGGCCAATGATGGATCTGCTAGACAACCATCAGACTATGTTAATGGACAAGGAACAGTCAACTTTAAGACGAACGAGAAAACAGAAAAAATTACTATTAAAATCGTTAACGATCAGGTAAGAAATGGGATTGATATGCCTGGTTGTATGACCTTAGGCTTGCTCCGACCCGAGGCCCAGATATTCTGAATTCAAGGGATGGGATTTCTCTGGAAAAAAGAAATCCACAAAGCCGGCGATTTTATCTCCATCCTTTGAACAAAACACTTAAAAACCATTGTTATCAGAATTTGTAATTTAAGTTTTAGCCTAATGTACCATAGACTGCAACTGGTCAATGTGACCTCATAGTGTATTGTTCGCCTGATGTCATCGTGTTTTTTATTACTCTTCCGATCCCCTAGAGAATGACAGCAGATTTATAACCTAAAAATGACAGAGAAATATTAAACATGTATAACGTGAGACAATTTAGCGAATGATTGAAAAGGATAATCGATCTGTATCTTGCAAAGCAGAGTAGTTTTTTCAAATGTCCCTTTAAACATATATTTCTTTATATAATGTTTTTCAAAACGGATTAGATTTATTTTTGCATTTCATCCTGATAATTTTATTTTCTCAAAGTGGTTCTTTTATTCATCACTGATAATGCATATATATTTACCTTTGTATTAAGGTTTACGAGCCAACAGAGTCATTCACAGTTACCTTGACAGCCGTGAGCTCTAATGGAGCACTTGGCTCATTGATCGTAGTAACAGTCACCATCACCAACGACGATCGTGAGTTCATTCACATATTTAGCCGATGATAATTTGATTGCTTCTAAAATAATAATTTTCTTTTCTTAAATATAACACTAACACAGTTCGTCATTTATTGATATTCAAATGCATTCACTTTTAAATTAACAGCGGAATGTGGTGGCCCTTGTGGAGTTAACGCCCATTGTGATTCCCCTTCACAAAAGTGTATCTGTAACGTCGGATTCATCCTATTCCGTGGATCTTGTTCCCGTATGTTTAATTATACACATATCCTATGTTTATCAAAGGATTTTTTACTTCAAACTGGAGATCAATATTTGTTTTTATTATTTCAAGTTATAAAAGTAATTAGACCCTTCAGAAATGTAAATACATGTCTGAATTTCTTTTTGCTGTTTGCGACTTTTTTCTTCATGCGTGTCAATGTCACACAACGTTGTCCGTTCTTGATACAAAATCACGACGGCTGAGTGATTTTACACCTTAACCAAAGAAATACATTATTTTGTGAGAATGTAAGTCCCACTAATCTTCAATCTTTAAAGCAAATATTTTACAAACTACCACATTGCAGATGTATTGAAATATCTAGCTAATTTGTGTGTTTCCATAGGAACAAATACAGGAACAAGTTAAACACACCCAAAGTGGAGAACTTCTGTATGATCAACGGTCGTGCTGTCCTTTTTTACAATATGTAACTAGACCATTGCTGTACACTTGCATAATGGAGAAGAGAAAGACTTCTATTCATTTGTTATTGTTTATATGAAATTATTTCATCATTTCTGTGTTCACACTCTCACTCGTTAATCATAGGGCCTTGTGGAGGACCATGTGGATCTAATGCCCGCTGTGATGAAACAACTAACAAATGTGTATGCACTACTGGATACTTTTTGATACAAGGATCGTGCAGTCGTAAGTTCGAGTTTCATTGAATTATCAGATTGCAAAAGCGTTACTTGGTCTTATGAATATGTAACTTTATGATTCTAACCTAGCACAACTAAATTGAGAGTACTGAAAGAATGCGAAACAAACCCTTTATATACCTTTGACTTTAAATGAATTACAGGCCCATGCGGAGGACCATGCAGACCAAACGAGAGATGTGACCGTAACTCCAACAAATGTGTTTGTATCCAAGGATATAGGTTATTCCACGGAAGTTGTGTTTGTAAGTATTCAGAATGAGGCATTGATGAATTATATAACAAAACGATTGAGAATCATGCAGAAAGTGACGAAGCACGAAAATGATACTATCTTTATACTTTCGAGTATTAATGTATTACAGTGCCATGTGGAGGACCATGTAGTCCAACTGAACGATGTGACTTTGACTTAAACAAATGTGTTTGTAAATCAGGATTCGTGTTACACCACGGCAGTTGCGTCCGTAAGTATACACAAATGTCAATTCAATAAATTTTATATAAGCGTGAGCAATGATCGTTTTGTAGAATTACATGTCTAAGAAATCTTATATTCTATTCATGTATAGGGTCCATACATTATAGTGCTGCCAATATGTGAACGGGGTTTATATTCTCTTTACATGCTCTGAAAACAAATGTACAGATATTGTACTTTTTGGATTAACATTGTTGAAACTACCGAGTGTTCACGTCAAATGAAGGTTATGTTTTACTATTGCATTGTGTCTGTATTCGGCTTGAATTTTACAGTACCATGTGGAGGACCTTGTGGCCCGAACGAACGTTGCGACAGTTCAACTAACCAATGTGTCTGTAATCCAGGATACTTCCGTTACCAAGGATCATGTTCCTGTGAGTACATGAATTGACTTCATACTGTATACCACAACTGTATCCGCCTTTTAAAGCCACAGCAACTCACAGCGTAATGAAAATACCCATCCTGTAGTGTTATACTAGTGATCGTTAAAACAAACATAATATATCAGATATGCTGTTTACTGACGTGAAATGATTAATGATATTTTTTTTTATATATTATCTGTAGTTTAATCGAATTGTCATTTTGGATTTAACATTAAAACTGTTCCTTTGGAGACGGTTTCGGTTGTATTCAGATAGAAGAATGCTGAATGTTTCTGCCTACTCATTCCAAAAAAAGACGATATTGTCTGCACAAATAGTTCATATCAATGCAAGTGATTTTAATGCTTAAGCACGGATACCATCGATTGATTGACAAATGTTTGTCTTACTAAGTGATTGAATGTTCTAATCTTACACCTTTTTATAGATATGTAAGTAGTTTAATTTCTTAACTAAAACCTTATAAATGAACTCGAATCAATGCGTTTTAGTGCCATGCGGAGGACCATGAAAGCACAATGAACATTGTGACAAAGTCAGAAACCACTGTGTCTGTGACAAAGGATATTTCCTTTACCATGGACTATGTACTCGTGAGGACAGAAATCGATTTTTACTACTTAACATTATTTATACATGAACATCGAAGAAAAAACTACCGATAAATAACCTCCTGACAACCAGTATTTAGTCATTTCTATAAAAAAAAAAATCCAATATGAAGGTATCTTCCTATAAGGGTTATTTTCTGGAGGTTATGTTATAATAACTCGAATCAATGCGTTTTAGTGCCATGCGGAGGACCATGTAAACTCTACGAACATTGTGACAAAGTCAAAAACCAATGTGTCTGTAACACAGGATACATCCTGTTCCGTGGATCATGTTCACGTGAGTATAGAATCAACTTCTTATTGTTTTACAAGAAATAACTAACTTTCTGACAACCTGTCTGTTGTAATTTGGGCCCCGCATCAAAGATGTGTGATGCCCCATAGTAATCACGGTGTCCTGCTGTACGTCTGTCAGCACTTTCGTTTCCAGAGATTATCTCAGATTCCAAAGGTCTAAATTTCGGAATCTTCACATGGTGTTACTCTTTGATGTGTAGATGAACAAAGGGGATTTCACAATTTTATCAGGTTAAAGTCAAGGTCGTTGAAACTTGAAAAATGAACAGTCGGGGTATAATGTCAAAATACATTGTATGACCCAAAAAATGCCAGATTTCGGTAAACATATTTGGTATGCCATTATGAAGAACAAATGGTCAATATCAAATAGGAAGTAAACTTGCCAAATGTCAAAGTCATGGGGTCAAATGTCCAGGCTCATTATATAAATCGCAACAGGTAAACACTTGGTGATAACATTATGAAGCAAAGTTGGTCAGATTACTAGGGGGTCTGCAATTGCAATTAGTGATCATACTGTCCATCCGTATGTCTGTCCACCGTCCGCCTGTCCCTCCGTTTGCCTGTTTTAACATCAGACATTGGATAAGTATTGAAAAATATATATTAAAAATATTTATTTGTATCGTTCTTACAAGATTTTTCAAATCAAGCGATGTATATCGGTTGTTGACTGTTTAATGAAATGGTTATCTACTTTAAACAATGGCGTTGTAAGTGCCATATGGAGGACCATGTTGACCTCACCAACGTTTTGACAAAGTCAGTGACCAATGCGTCTGTATCATTGGATACTTCATATAGCAAATATAATGTGTCTATACGTACATGCTTTGTTTTTGTATAAACTTCCTTTACCTTGTACTGTACATCCGATTCCAAGCATCATGGACTCGTAATGAAATCATAGAAATATGCTTCATATCATGTAGCATGTACTGTAAAATGCTTGTATTACTGTACGTTTTTTCATCCTGGAAATTAACTATATCCAACTAAAACCGATTGTTGACAATATTGCTTTTCACAGTGGTCGATACAAATTTACTAATAGATAAAGACAATTCATTGCTAATGATCCTTTTTTGAGATATTGTAATTATAAGATGCAATGAAACATTTGATATTAGGTCGATGAAATAATGAAAGATTGATGAATTAATTGCTTTTCAATCCTATTCAGCTTGTTGGTTGTTGTAATATAATTGATGATAGGAAAACTAATCTAACGGACAGGAAAGATAATTTAAGTTTCTTTTCGAGAAAGAATTGCTATATAATACACAATGATAATGCTTTCAGTTCCATGTGGAGGAAGTTGTCCATCAAATTCTGAATGCATCAGCTCAGACAACAGATGTCACTGTACCCAAGGATTTCTAGGAGATCCTTACAAAGGCGGATGTCATCGTATGTAGTTTTGACATCATGAGCTTGCGATCAAAGATTTAATGTAATTTACGAATAGCATTGGTGAATGTACTATATATATATATATATAGATATACGTTATGCATCAATTAGTTATTTCATACAGTAATGCATTTGATATTTCATTCTTCTCTCAATTCATATAATTGTTGTCTCGATATACGGTGATGAAGATTATAGAATTTTTTTCAGGTCGAGGCGTTGTACAGTTCGCCATAACAACCTACTCAGTGAGTGAAAGTGCTGGAACGGTATCGCTACAACTGTCAAGAACCGTTGGGCTGTTTGGCTCAGTGACGGGGTCTTGGTCTACCCGTGATGGAACTGCTCGTTACCCAAGCGACTTCTCTAAAAACAGCGGAGTGGCTACCTTCGGAAATGGTCAGAGTTCGACGACATTTTCTATTGGAATTGTCAACGATCAGGTAAAGTATACCATGGGTGGTCATTATGGATTTTGTTAATTTGTAGCAATGCATATTTAAACATTTCACACATTCTTCCTGTTGATATACTTTATATGTTCATACGTTTACTCCAGATATTGATGGTGAAAAGAATCATAGCATGAACCCTTTCCCTATAAATTCCAGACATATGAGTCAAGTGAGAGTTTTACAGTAACTTTGTCAGTGGCGGCGTCCTCGTCCAGCGTTGTAGTAATCGGAGAACGAAGAGTGGCCACAGTCACTATCACGAATGATGACGGTACGTCAGATTTTGATTATTCAGTCACAATTTTCTTGAATGAATTACTCGGGGTAATACAACGTCTTTAATCAAACATGTATATTTTAAAACGTATGAGCATTACAGGAGATCAAATACAAGCATATAATTTAGATAAATACGATTATGTAAATACAAAAAAGGAATATGTTGTTTACGTAGGTAAACATTTACAATTGACAGATTATACGCGATCGTTCATCGTAAAGTTGCATGTTTAGACAGCTAAAGGGAAATCCATATTTGTTATGCTTGAAATCACTTCTTTCAGCACCGTGTGGTGGCCCATGTGGACCAAACGCCCGCTGTGACCTGACAACGCAGAAATGTAAATGTAACCCACGTTACGTCCGTTTCCAAGGCGGTAGTTGTCAATGTAAGTAATAAAGGTTGATTTCATTTCTAACAATCAACCATGCTCATTTTACTGAAGTAACCCGGATATAGGTTAATTACCGCAGAGTAATATTGCAACATGTTATACTTTTTCATTCTGCTTAATAATTCGCCCTGCCCGAAATCGGCAAACATGCAACCATGAGGTAGGAAAAACAAACTTCCAATGTTCAATGACCATGAACATGAGATGTGTTAATAAACTAACAATCAGTTATCAAAAATTCTAAGATAACACGCTACAACCCGTTGGCAATCCGATTTTTTCATATATGTCTCTTATAAATGCTCGTTGTTTATTAATCATATCATGTGAGAATTGCATAGAACCTGCATGATCGATATTTGTGTCTTATATTTATCATAAAATCTATTCGTGTTTGGGGGGAAAGGATAATTGTTCAATTTTACAAATACTTGTGTTCTATTCTTTCATATCCAGTGATATCAAAATGAAAATATTAAATATATTTGTGATGAAAAATATCTGGTATTGATAATATTATAGTTTAATGGACATTTTACTCAAATAAAAATATTACAACGCTTACAGATACGTTCTATAACATATAAAATGTAGATTCGCAGATTACTGCAAAATGCATATATTTTTTCGGTATATACCGTAACATTCCAACAGCAATCCTGGTTATTTCCTTTCTTAACATATTTGCAGTGCCATGCGGAGGATCATGTGGACCCAATGAAAGATGTGACAGTGTCACTAACCAATGTGTCTGTATCGATCGATACTATAAATACCACGGATCATGTGTCAGTAAGTACATACATAACCTGTATTTACACTACCTATAATTGTTTATTTCCTTACATATCCCTACTAACCTATTACACTTCAATGCAATCAAACAGAATGTTTTTGCTTTTGGGATATACAATTTTACCAAAACTGCACTTTTGAAGATTGTAACTCTCCGATGCAAGACAAAAAATCATGAAAAGGTTTTTTTCATTTTATCATCAATAGTTTAAATCGCAAACTTTAGTGTCTAATTATTGTTGAAAGTTTTTAAAAATAATCTGATTATTTTTTTATTTGAAACAAACTAAAATGAAGGTGGTTTTGAATAATCATGAAAAAAACTGAAACGTGAAGTTCGAACTCAGCATAGAATAGATTAGGCAAAATATGAACAAAAAATGCCAGGGAATTAAGACCAGGTTTACCGGAATATGTTATCGTCTTCCGATGCAGCGACTAAATTTGGGACCTTATCTCTTCTCTCCTTTCTAAATAACTTTCTTCTTCCTAATGTCTCCCTTGACAATGCCTCACTTTTGGCCATTTGTTGAGCGTTCGCCCCTGTGAGGAAGGCTTTGGGTTCTGTCCCCTGGCCGAGACATACCAAAGTCTTTAAAAATGGTAGTTTATACTCCTGCTTAACGCTCAGCAAATTAGGAGTGGGACGACTGGTTCGCCCGTTGTCAGTATAATGTGACCGGGTGGGGCGTCCTGCTGGGTGTCTTCGGCAGTATGTTTCAGTGAGGTAGCACTATAAAGTCAGCATCAGTTCGCGCTATCACAAGGAGACAAACACGAACATATCGCAGCCTCCCAAAATACACACACATACACTACACGCATGCATCTTGCACACAGGGGAGGCCGTCCTTAAATGACCTTAGCTGTTAATAGGACGTTAAACAAAATCAAACAAACAAAAAAAATCCGATGCAGCAAATATCTATTGAGCCGCTATGTACAAATCGAAACCCCTCCTCGTTTTATTTCCTTTTCGACTTACCGTTTCGATTCCTTCTTTTCATTTCTTTTCCCGTCAATATAATCAATGAAATGGCGGATGTCAAGTTGATTGCTGAAAACCTTATCCTCTTATGTTATAGTTTGTTTCATATTTTATTGTTTTTAACATTTAACCAGACATTTCATTTGCTCTTCTTTTTTACCTGCATTGTATTTGTTATTTAAGATTGAATTAAGAAACAGTGTTTTAAATCCGATAGCATGTGCTTATTTGCTGATTCTAACTGTCAAGTACACTTGTCAATATTGAGAGGGCATTTCGACAACAAAATATATAAAGGTATCTTCGATAAGACTAAAACCTGTCAAACAACAAATTCTTCTAAATTACATTTTTATGTAACAGTACCATGCGGGGGACCATGTGGATCAAACGCACAATGCGATAGAGTCAGCAACCAATGTGTCTGTAACACAGGCTACATCTTTTTCCGTGGATCATGTACTCGTAAGTAAATCACAGAAAAATATGTCGTCATCGAATGTAGATTAAGGAATAGGTACTTGTTCCTGCATTGACTTCGTCATTCATCAGTATCTGATTTAACCATCTGTTTGACAAAACTGTTCTAACAATGGTCAATTTAAGCTTTATTTTATCAAACGGTTAACAAGCTTACGTAATTTTCTGGCCGCAAAAAGGATGATTTTATCAAAAAAATGTCCACCCAATTCCGTATGTAGCAGCTCAGACAACATATGTTATTGTCAGACAGATTTCATAGGAGATCCATACCACGGCGGATGTCAACGTACGTCTTTATTTACATCATCATTTTGTCCGTGGGTTTAAAATGATTTTCATTTTACATGGGTAGTGTCGCATATATATTTTCATTTCTGCATAAACAATTTACTATGCTAAGTATTAAATTTAGTTTGTTGTTCTCACAACGTCATTGAAAAATTAAAATGTTATTTTTATTGATGTTTGTAATCCAACAATTAATTCAGATCTCAGTTAATCCCGTCAAGTAAGTAACCAATGTTACTTTCGCTACCACGGCACGTATCAATGTACTAACAGAAGTTGAATTTCTTACTATGAGCCTTATTGTCTTTAACTCGTAAAGTTGCCTCAGTTAGACTTAAGAAACTATAATCTCAAGTGATGAATTAACCCTGGTATAGGATAATTCCCGAACAGTAATGAGGTAACAAGTTATAATTCTGTTAAATCATTCGCCATTCCTGAAATAGACAAGCATGCAACAGTAAGTGCAGATAAAAAAGTATTAAATATTCAGAGAAGAAGAACATTGGGGGTGTCACTATACCAACAATCACTAAGATTATCATAAAGAAAAGGATAGCACGCTAAAAGGTGTTGGCAATTAATTTTATTCTGTATGTCTTATGCAAATGTCCTTTGTTAATCAATGATATTAATGGAGAATTAAATATTACTTTCATCACTGGTATTTCTCTCTGACATTTATTAGAAAATCTATTAATTGTGGGGGAAAAGGATGACATTCTACGAAAGTACTTGTTTTCTATATTGACACCTTCAGGAGTGGTATCAAAATGAAATAGTAATATTTTCGCGTTGAAAATGTTGATACTGGGCCACGTAAAACTCACTCCCGCCGTACGTATATGCTAACAAAATATGTCTAGGATTATCAATGTTTCAGTTTAATGGGCATTGTTTCAAATCAAAAAATCAAAACGTAGAAACGCAGATTAATGCAAGTGCAGAATGTTTTTGGTATATACCGTAACACCTCAACAACAATCCCGAATACACCTTAATTTAACACATTTGTAGTGCCATGCGGAGGACCATGTGGGCCCAATGAAAGATGTGACAAAGGCAGTAACCAATGTGTCTGTATCGAGCGATACTTTAAATACCACGGAGCATGTGCCTGTAAGTACAAACAGAAACTATATTCATATTCAGTGTCAATATAGGAAACAAAGGTGGATTTAACTTCTTACAATAATCCATTCTCCCATTTACCCTTTCGTTTGCCTCAGTAAGACTTGAGAAACCATAATTTCAAGTCGTAAGTCAACCCTGATATAGGATACTTCTGGTACAGTTATCAGGCAAAAATTAATAAGTGTAAAAAGTATAAGGAAACCACGCTACAAGGCGTTAGCAGTTTTGTCTCATACAAACAATCTTTGTTTGTTAATCATATTATGAGTTAGCTCAAAAATGCCTGCATGGTTTGTATTTATGTCCAATATTTATCATGACATCTTTTAATAGTGTAGGGGGACATTATAATAGCTCAATTTTACAAAGGGCTCTTCTTCTTAACTCATACCTTCAGGGTTGATATTCAAATAGAAATATAAAGTGTCAGGTTTCGCAAATACTTGATTTTGATAATTGGCAATGTCCACCTTACTCTCGCTGGAACCATTATGCCAATTGATATTTCTGATTTTCTTAGTATTTCAATTTAACGAAACTTGTTTCAAATAAAATATCAAAAAAATCAAATATACGTTCTATAACATATAGAACACAGATTCGCAGATTCGTGCAAAGTACACAGCTTTCTTTGGAAAATACCATAAAACCCCAACAATCCCGGTCACTTCTTAATCTAACATATTTGCAGTGCCATGCGGGGGACCATGTGGACCTAATGAAAGATGTGACAGAGTCACTAACCAATGTGTCTGTATCGAGCGATACTATAAATACCACGGATCTTGTGTCAGTAAGTACATACATAACCTGTATTGATCTTGCCTATCGTTATATTCTTTTTAGATATCGTTACATACAGGATACACTGAAATGCAATCAAATCATATTTTAAACTTTCACCAAAACTGAATTTTTGAAGACAGTTATTATCCGATGTAAGTCAAAAAAACATAAAAGATTTCAATTCTACAAACAAAAGTGAAAATTAGTAAAATTCTGTCGTTATCGGCAATATGGTCTAGAGCGTTTGAATACCTTCATCTTAAATGTGGTGACAGTAGTGGGTTCGATGTTCATAAATAAGGACATTAATGTTTGATTTTAATCACGTTCTTGGAATCACTGAACAAGTGATTCTGTGCAGTCCTCTATAGTTGTGTAAAAAGGTCGTGTATAATGTGATATGTTTGTGCAGCTGAAACAAATTTATATTTTAGAGGATTTGTAGGATTACTAGAATACTGAAGCTTTAACAATTATGTAATTCGACCAGAAAATGATTCGACTTTGGCAAATTATGAACAAAAATACCAGAGAAATATGGCCAGGTTTTCAGGAATGGTATTCGTTCTCTGGTTCAGCAACTTTCTATTAAACTGTTAAGTTCAAATCGAAAACGATGTTGTTGTTTTCCCGTCCTTAGTGTATACGAAGTTGTTTTTAGTTTCGATTCCTTGTTGTACGCTTCTTTTCTGCTCAATACTATCAATAAAACGCGCTTGTTGGAATTATTGCTGAAATCCCAACCATGCTGTTTCATACCTTTTTTCCAGTTTTCATTGTATTTAATATTTAAACAGAAATTCTTACCACAATTGTATTCGCTCTGCATGTTACATTCCTATTATTTAATGTCAATACTTGTTTGTATATACACACATAAACTATTGTTATTATTAATGATCGATATATTATTGAATCTCAACATAACTTCTTTTGAAAGCTATGGTGTGTGTTAAACTGGACACTTTGAATATTCGAGCTATCAAGTGCAATGTTCAATATTAGGAATGCACTTTAAAAAGTGAAAGTGTAAAGGTATCTACGATAAGACGAAAGCATGTCGATCATCAAATTCTTTAAAAATACATGTTCATGTAACAGTACCATGCGGAGGACCGTGTGGACCCAACGCACAATGCGATAGAGTCAGCAACCAGTGTGTATGTAATACAGGCTACATCCGATTCCACGGATTATGTACTCGTAAGTAAATCACTCAGAAAAAATTGTTATGACATGTTCCTGTACCTCTATGGATTTCATCAATTATCGAAATCAAATAAATTGACTTGAACCCGCTGTTTGACAAAGATAGTCCGACAATGGAAAATATATGCATTCATAAAGCATTATGTAATATCTTTCTGTTCATCCTTTTTTGACATATATTATCATAAGATTATTTAAAAATGATATATAACGGCTAACTGGTACTTTAAATTGTTGTTAGTTAATCTAATTTTCTTGTTATTCGTCACAGTTTGATCAAATCCCATTCATGAGGATTAGCAAACTGTAAGAAAATGCAATTTAATGTAACGGCCACAAATGAATTTCAAAAGTACAATACATGTTACAGTCCCATGTGGAGGAAAATGTCCACCCAATGCTGTATGTAGCAGTTCAGACAACAGATGTCATTGCAAGCCAGGTTTCTTAGGAGATCCATACCAGGGTGGATGTCATCGTACGTATTTTTAACATCAGTGATTTGTAGCTCATAGTTTAGATACTATTTATTTTGGCTTGGGTAAAAAAGCGTACACATGTTTATTCATGCATAGATTAGTTCCTAAATCTAGTAGTAAACTTCCTATTTAGTTCTCACAGTATTCTTGGAATTAATGTTAGTGATGTCCCGACATGTTGATTGAGATTTGAAAGTGTATTTCAGTTCGCAGTGTTGTACAGTTTGTCCAAATAACCTACTCTGTGAGTGAAAGTGCTGGAACGGTATCGCTACAACTGTCAAGAACAGGAGGGTTGTTTGGCTCAGTGACGGTGTCTTGGTCTACCCATGATGGAACTGCTCGTTACCCAAGTGACTTCTCCCGAAACAGCGGAGTAGCTACCTTCGGAAATGGTCAGAGCACGACGACATTTTCTATTGGAGTTGTCAACGACCAGGTAACGTATATCATTGTTTGTGATAAGGATGTAGTAATTTGTCGTTAACGTTAATTTGCGATGAATATTAATAACATAACAAATATTGTGTCCTTATAGACCATATATATTTGTGTGTTGGTTTTGCATTGAAATGAAACAAAACCCGTTTTTGTTGAACTTTCAGATATACGAGTCCAGTGAAAGTTTCACAGTAATTTTGTCAGTTGCTGCATCCTCAACCATCGTGGTAATCGGATCACGAAGAGAGGCAACAGTCACCATCACGAATGATGACAGTAAGTAGGATTTTGATTATTCAGTTACTATTTTTTGAGTGAAACATTCAGTTAATCAAACAGGTTAAATCAGATGTTTCACGATAATAAAGGTTTAATTTCAATAAAACATTGTTTGCGTACGATGGATTTATCATGACATAGTAGCATGTTTAAGCAGCTAAAATGAAACCCGTGCTTGATATGCATGGAATCTCTACGTACAGAACCATGTGGTGGCCCATGTGGACCTAATGCCCGTTGTGACCTGACTACGCAGAAATGTATATGTAACCAAGGTTACATCCGTTTCCACGGCAACACGTGTCAATGTAAGTATTGCATATGGATTTAATTTTTTACTATAAAGCGTTCTCCAGTGAGCCCGTTAATTTTCCTTAGTTTTACTTTCGAAACTGTAATCTCAAGTGGTGAATCAAGTACTTCATTTTTACAAAGTTTTTCTAAGTTCATACCTTAGGATTGACAAATGAAAATTTGTGAATTTCAAGTTTCTAAAAATATCTGATTTTGATGATTGGCCATGCCCACCTTTCACCCACGGTACCGGTAATGCCAATGAACATGTCTGCGTTTATTAATATTTCGATCAAATAGACAATGTTTCAAATGAAAATGTCAAAAGGATCAGAGTTACATTCTATGACACATAGAACACGAATTCGCAGATAAATGTAAAGTCCACAGTATTTCTTTCGGAAAATATAGTTCAACCCCAACAACAGTCTTGATTATTTCTATATTTGCTAAATGAATCAGCGACTATGTTATGCTTGTTTTCTGCATATGTGACGTTTGTAGTGCCATGCGGAGGATCATGTGGACCCAATGAAAGATGTGACAGTGTCACTAACCAATGTGTCTGTATCGAGCGATACTATAAATACCACGGATCATGTGTCAGTAAGTATATATACATAACCTATATTAATGTTACCTATCTTTGTAAACCTGTTAGATACCCATACAAACCTATTACACTACAATGCAATCAAACCGTATTGTGTTTGCTTTTTTATATATAATTTAATAAAAAATGTATATTTAAAGATTGAACTATCCAATGAAAGGCAAAAACCCATGAACGAATTTCAACTCTACCATTTATAGCTTCAAACGCAAAATTTAGATTCTGCGAAATATAGTACAAGCCTAACCTGATAGGTCATAGTTCCAAAACGGTTGACAGTCTTCTCAAATAAATATGATGACAGTAATGCTTTTGATTTGTGAAAATACTGTTATTTGTGGTTGACCTTTAAATGCGGTCTTGAAGTAACTGAACATGCTGTTTTGTGGAGCTCTCTGTGTTGTAATCGGTTTGCTTTTGTATTTTGACCTGAAATATAACTCCATGTTTGAAAACGGTTAAACTCTGGTGTACGAAAAAATTAAGTGTCTTGAAATAACTGAATATTTTGCTCTGTACAACTCTCGGTTATTGTATCAAATTTTCTTGTAAAATGTTATGTGATATGTTTTTGATTTTAAACAAACTAAAATGCAGGATGTTTGTAGAATATATAAAGGATAGTGAAACATTAACAAACATGTTATTCGAATTAAGATTGAATAGATAAGGCAAAATGTGAAGATAAAAAAATCTGGAAATTCAAACCATATTTTTCGGAGTGATCATCGTCTTTTGCATAACATTCATTTTATTAAATCGCTGTGTTCAAGTAAAAAATGAAAACTAGTTTTCCATTGTGTTTTATTTCATCCTCAGTTTATATGATTTTTTTCCATTTCGACATACGGATTCGATTCCTTGTTGTTCGTTTCTTTCTGTTAGATATAACTTATAAATGGAGCATACTTGATTGATGAAATCCCTTGCCTCGTATTATTATATCAGTTCATATTGTTTAGTTATATTAACATTTGAACAGACAAAGCTATTACTATTAAGATTGTATTGATATATTGTTTTCGAAATACAATAAATGTGGACATCTTGGTACTTTGAACATACTATCTATCCAGTTAAATGTTCAAAATTTACTGAAAAGGTATTTATGATAGGTTGAAAGCGTGGCAAACATACGATTCTTTAAAATTACATGTTCATGTTACAGTACCATGCGGAGGACCGTGTGGACTCAACGCACGATGCGATAGAGTCAGCAACCAGTGTGTCTGTAATACAGGCTACATCCGATTCCACGGATCATGTACTCGTAAGTATATCACAGAATCAGATGTCATATAATGGAGTATAAGGAATGTGTTCCTGTACCTCTATAGACTTCGTCATTCATCAAATTAAGATAAATTCTCTTGAATCAACTGTCTGACAAAGATGGTCTCATAATTGTCAATTTGTGCTTCCATCTAGCAATAGACAATGTCTAGCGGTAAATCCATTTCATTGACATACTTATGTAATCATATGATAATTGGAAACTTGAATTTCATATTAAAGATGTCGATAAAATTGATATAACTTTTTATTACATCATGCACTGTGTTATCCAGTGATCATCCCATGCCATATAGTTTGCGTATTAGCCAATGTAATATACCTTTTAGCCCTGTGATTCGTTGTAAGTTTCCATTGTTTCAATTGTGACGTCACACTTAGGACAAGTACAGGACGTCACAGACTAACGCACTGGAGTCAAAATGGCGGTGTTTTACATTTCAAGGTTGCATACAAATTGTCGTTTAACACGAATAAATGCCCCAACTTTAATTATGTGATAAGAGGATATTAAACTCGCTTCATTTCATATGAAATTTGATGAAACTCGTCACGAATGTTTCATTTAATATGATATTGAAACTCGTGTGAGATCCTACATATCAGATCATATTGTCGTTCGTCGCAGTTTGATAGATCCCGTTCAAGGAGATAATCAAGCTGTAACAAATGTAAACGTAATCTGACCGTAAACAGGTTTATTTCTTTATGATATCATTTTTTTTATATCAAAATGAAAATGTAAGATATTTGTATATGTCTACCTAAATTCCTGCTTTGCCCATAATGCCGACAGATATGAATGGAAATTATTTCAAATAAGATATCAAAAAGTTTAGATATACATTCTTTAACAAATACAACACGGATACGCAGATTAATGCAAATTGTACAGAAAACAACCCCCCAAAAATCCTGACTATTCCTTATTTCAACACATTTGTAGTGCCATGTGGAGGACAATGTGGACCCAATGAAAGATGTGACAAAGGCAGTAACCAATGTGTCTGTATCGAGCATTACTTTAAATTCCACGGATCATGTGTCAGTAAGTAGATGTATTGAAATTACCTGTCATTGTGTACCTTTTAGATACCCTTGCAAACAGTATACACCACAATTCAATCAAACCGTATTTCGTTTCCTTTTGTGATATAATTTAATCAAAACTACCTGTTTGATGATTTTGATAACCCTCCGATGTAAAACTCATTAAAGGATTTCAATTCTTTTACTCATTGTTTCAAACCCAAAATTACGTGTTTTAAATATAGTAAAAACCTTAAGTGATAATGACGGGTCTTTGCGGTCGACTGTCTTCGAACAAAACAATTTTCGGAAACAATTCGTTTAGTTGTTGCGTCCTTGAAATGAATGAACCTGCAGTTAATTGCAATTGTCTTTGTTGTTGTATGGTTCCGTCCTTGGAACTATACATAAGCGATTATTATAGTATATGATCGATATAGCATTTAATCGTTATCTTTGTTATTTAAGATTGAAATAACATATGATCTTTTAAATCCGAAGATATGTGATGATATGTTTGATCGTTTCTTTCGGTTCTTTAAACATTCTAGCTATCAAGTGTTGAATTCAATATTGAGAATGTATTTCACAAAGAGGAATATAAAGAAAGGTTTCTACGATGACATTAGAGCAGTTCAAACACTATGTTCTTCTTAATTGCTTTTTTATGTAACAGTACCATGCGGCGGACCGTGTGGACCCAACGCACAATGCGACAGAGTCAGGAACCAGTGTGTCTGTAAAACAGGATACATCCAATTCCATGAATCATGTACTCGTAAGTAAATCACAAAAACAGATGTCAAAATAAAGCATATGGAATACTTTCCTGTACTGTAACTTCAGCCATCTGCGATTCAAATAATGTCCACTTAAATCACCTGTTAGATGAAGATAGAATAACAATGGTCAACGTACCCATTATGCAATATCGTAACCTTCTCTCGCTGATTGACATCTGTAGGCATAAGATAAATGAAAAAAATATTGATTTCGTCTAGAAAGTGTTAACAATTTGATGTAAGTTTATCTTATGATCCCGCGGCCCCAAATATATTTTTCTTAAAATACGATACATGTTTTCAGTTCCATGTGGAGGAAGTTGTCCATCCAATTCCGTATGTAGCAGTTCAGACAACAGATGCCATTGTAAACCAGGTTTCTTAGGAGATCCTTATCACGGCGGATGTCATCGTACGTATTTGAACATGATGGATTTGCAGCTTATAGTTTATTTACGATTTTCGGTTGGAGTAATGAAGCATACACTTGTTTATTAATTTTGTATGCATCAATTGTTTCCTAGATTTCATTTTTTGTTTTTACAATGTCCCTTGAATACATATTATTGATGTCCTGATATATGTTAATTATGATTTGAAATGTATTTCAGTTCGCAGTGTTGTACAGTTTGTCACAATGACCTACTCTGTGAGTGAAAGTGCCGGAACGGTATCGTTTCAACTATCAAGAACCGGTGGATTGTTCGGCTCAGTGACGGTGTCATGGTCTACCCATGATGGAACTGCTCGCTACCCAAGCGACTTCTCCCGAAACAGCGGAGTAGCTACTTTCGGAAATGGTCAGAGCACAACGACATTTTCTATTGGAGTTGTCAACGACCAGGTAAAGTCTAGTATGCGTTGTCATAAGGGATATCGTTGATAACGTAATACTGCAATGAATATTCAAATATTATTTCCTTCCTGACCAAATATATTTGTTTGCACGTTTACGCCAGATTTTGAAATCGAAATGAAGCTACACTCCCTGTTTTGTCCTTTTTTAGGTATATGAGTCCAATGAAAGTTTCACAGTTACGTTGTCAGTAGCGGTATCCTCAACCAACGTTGTAATCGGAACTCGAAGAGAGGCCACAGTCACCATCACGAATGATGACGGTACGTAAGGTTTTGATTATTCAGTTAAAATTTCTTCAGTGAAATACAAAGGGAATAAGACTTGTTTTATCAGATATTATATGGAAAGTAAAGGTTTAATTTTTAGAAGTATACATTGCTTGTGTATCATGGATACATTGCACAGTATATTTTTGTTCACATAAAGGAAACACCGTATTTGATATGCCAAACATCACTACTTACAGCACCGTGTGGTGGCAAATGTGGACCAAACGCGCGTTGTGACCTGACTACGCAGACGTGTATATGTAACCAAGGTTACCGCCGTTTCCACGGCAGCACGTGTCAATGTAAGTAACGATGTCTGAGTCAGTTTCTTACTATAATCCGTTGTCCCTTAAACCTTTTAATTTGCCTCAGTTAAACTTTAGAAGCATAATCTCAATAATGAATTAACCCTGATACAGGATAAATCCCGTACAGTAATTACGAAACAAGTTATAATTTTAACATTATGTTGAATATTTTGCTCTTCTAAAATGGGCAAACATACGACAATAAGGTGGGACAAAATTATTTAAATGTTCAGTTACCGTATACATAAGATTTGTCAATAAACCAACAATCACTGAGTCAATGATCAGAAGTATTAGAAAGCACGCTACAACGCGTTAGCAATATGTCCCATATACATTTTCTTTGTTTATAAAATATTACTCAATAATATCTTCATGATTGGTATTTTTTGTCAAATATTTATCATAAAAACGATAAATGTTTTGAGAAAATGACTATAGTACAGTTTTGCAAAGTGCTCTTTTTCTATATTCACACCTTCTTGATTGATATCCAAATAAAAACGTAAAGTGCCAGGTTTCGAAAAATGCCAGGTTTCGAAAAATATCTGATTTTGATGATTGGCAATGTCCACCTTACTCCCGCTGTACCATTAATGCCAATTAATATTTCGGCGTTTATTAATATATTTAAATTCAATGAACATTATTTCAAATGAAATATCAAAAAGTTCAGATGTACGTTTATAATATAAATAACACAGATTCGCAGGATAATGCAAATGTACAGTTTTCTTTGATAAATACCGTAAAACCCCAACAACAATCTCGGTAGCTCCTTAATTTAACACATTTGTAGTGCCATGCGGAGGACCATGTGGACCCAATGAAAGATGTGACAGTGTCACTAACCAATGTGTCTGTATCGAGCGATACTTCAAATTCCGCGGATCTTGTGTCAGTAAGTACAAATATAATCTGTATTGATTTTACCTATCGTTATATACTTTCTAGATATTCTTAGATTCGTGGTTCACAGCAATGCAGTCAAACCGTATGCTTTTTTTTTTTTAATTTACAACTTTTAGCAAACTGATTTTTTTAGATGGTTACTCTCCGATGTAATGGAATAGCTCATGAAAGGATTTAAATTTTACAATTGATAGTTTCAAACACAAAATTTAGTGTCTGAAAAAAAAGGTGAAAACCTTACCTGATATTTCATTGTTCCAGGACAGTTGACTGTCTTCGACCGTAAAACTGATGACAGTAGTGGGTTCTGTTTAGGGAAACACTGTCAGTTGAGTTTGACCTTTAAGCGTGTTATAGAAGTGACTTAATACAGTTGTGGGATCGCACAACGTTACACGATGTGCGGTGTGCGCACGAAGTGTGCACGGTGTGTGAACGGTGTGTGCACGATGGGCGAACGATAAAAAGCTGGACGATCATTGCTTGCGCACATTTGTGCGCACGATGGACGAACTTTGTGCGATAACAATCGTGGTTTGTGTAAATTGAGGAATGCCTTAACAATTTATACGGTTTCGTGTTTAAACATATAAACTTGATTTTTACGTATGTTTCTATATTCTAGCTACATCTATAAACTTATTTTTCTGTCTATACATTTTTATATTTAGAAATTGGGTTTCGGTGTTTTTTAACAAACTTAATCGACACATGTAAAATTACAACACAATCCCGTATACAGGTAAACATAACCACTTTGTACATGTACCTAGTCCTTAGTTTTCCCCTCGCCTGGGGCACTTACGTAATTCGTCGGGTTAGGCCGGGGTGTGAAATCCAGTTGAATGGGAGCTATAGGCAAACGAATGCAAATAACAAATACTATCCATTACGGTCATACGGTATCGCATATCAGCTCTGTGTGTCAGGTACTGGTCAGGTAAAACTCCGGACACTCATTAAATTGTTATTTACCTGTTCGGCTACCTTGGAGTCAAACCCATTCTAGACAGCCTTACGGTCGCTGTAATACTGTGTAACACGCATTGTGAAATTGTATCATCTTGATTATTGTGATGAGAAATTACAGATATATTCAAAGTGTACATTATCGCATACGAGCCTTCCGTATTTTTGTCATTCCGTAATTTTGATCTACAAGTTATACCAAATCGTACAGTTGTGCGGAGAGAAGCGCACAACGGGGCTAACGATTATTAAATCGCACAGTTGTGCGCACCATGTGTGGACGATGTGCGGACGGTGTTTGGACGATGTATGCACGGTGTGCGCACGCTATTTTTGGTGCGTTGTGCGGTCACACAACTGTGTGTAGTTCCGTACAACTCTTTGTCATTGTAGAAATAGTTAATGTAATTTATAAGGTGAATGCAGAAATTTTGTAGAATATGTCCAGAAAACTGAAACATTAACAAGCATGTATTTCGAAATCAACATGGACTAAATTAGCCAGTCGCTTTGTACAAATAAAAACAAGAATAATGTATTACAACGTGTTTTTTTTTACCGTCCTGAGCTACTATGAGGTTTTTCCATTTTCAAATAAAGGTTAAATTTCTTGTTGTTCTTTTTTTTCTGTTCAATAAAACCAATATAAAGGATCATGTTTGATTGCTGAAATTCGTGGCCTCTTATGTTAATTTCAGTTCATAATATATTTATTCAACATTTAAACAGAATAAGTCACTGAAAAAGTATTAACGATAAGTTGAAATGGTGCCAAACATCCAATCTATAAAATCACATTATGTATGTAACAGTACCATGCGGAGGACCCTGTGGACCTAACGCACAATGCGACAGAGTCAGCAACCAATGTGTCTGTAATACAGGCTACATCCGATTCCAACGAGCATGTACTCGTAAGTAAATCACAGAAACAAATGTCATCAAATAAAGATTAGGGAATATTTTCCTGTTCATTGACTTCGTCATATATCAATATAAATTTAGTTTGATTCAAAAAGCTGTTTGATAAAGATAGTCTAACACTGGTCAATTTATGCTTTCATATAGCACTAGGCGCTATCTTACTGTACATCATTTTTTATGACATGTAATCAGAAGATTCATGAAAAATAACATGCTACGGTTAACAAATCTTTAAGAACTGCTCTTTGGTAATCTCATGCTCTTGTCGTTCGTCGCAGTTTTATCAAATGCCGATCATGATTATTATGAAACGAAACAGTAAGAAGACATATCGTAATATTAAGGACGATACATGGTTTTTTATTATAAGATACATTTTCAGTTCCATGCGGGGGGAAATGTCCATCAAACTCAGTATGTAGCAGTTCTGACAACAGATGCCACTGTAATCACGGATTCCAGGGAGATCCATACCACGATGGATGTCATCGTATGTATAATGTATATGATGAGATTGGCGATCAATGTTTGACTATGGCTTACTTTTAATGGGAAAATGTATCATAAAAAGGTACAGTTAAGAATTAATCATTAACCATTTGGAGCTTTCATTTTAATACATCTAGTTTGTTTCAATATCCACCATTGTTGATTTGATACTTCAGATGTTCTACTCTGTTTCAGTCCGAAGCGTTGTAGAGTTTGGTCAACTAATCTACACAGTGAGTGAAAGTGCTGGAACACTATCGCTACAACTAAGAAGAACCGGTGGGTTGTTTGGCTCCGTGACGGTGTCTTGGTCTACCCAAAATGGAAATGCTAATTACCCAAGCGACTTTTCCGACAACAGCGGAGTAGCTACATTCGGAAATGGTCAGAGTACAACGACATTTACTATTGGAATTGTAAACGATCAGGTAACCTAATTTGGTAGTAATAAGGGATATTGTCATTTTTTTGTTATCGTATTATTGCAATGAATAATGAAATATTTAACACAGTTTGTTTTCTGGTTGATTTAGTTTGTATGCTTTTACGTTAACGTTTTGATTTTGATAGTAAAGTAAGATGAATCGTAACATGAACTCTTTATTATTTAAATTTACAGACATATGAGTCACCAGAAGCTTTCAAAGTAACTTTGTCAGTTTCGCAAGGTTCAAATACGAACATTGTAGTAATCGGAGAACGAAGAGTGGCCACAGTCACCATCATAAGTGATGACCGTACGTAAGATTTTGATTATTCATTTACAATTTTCTTCAGTGCACATTGCGAGAAATTAATCGTGATCATCTGTTAATAAATAAATAAAACTAATTAATTACAAAAATATCTAACAAGTGGTGAACAGTAAGTAAATGTTTAGTTTTAAAAGTAAACATATGTAACGCATACCATACCGTTCATTGCATAATTACATGCTTTTTCGGCTTAAGTGAAAGCCACATATGATGTAACTATTGTCACTACTTACAGCACCATGTGGTGGCCCTTGCGGATTAAACGCTCGATGTGACGTGCATTCGCAGAAATGTGTCTGTATAGAAGGCTACACCTTGTACGACGGGTCGTGTCAATGTACGTATTAAAAGTGTAGTGTATCTTTGGATACAATAAATTTAAACGACTTACATGAATAAAAGGTAAAACCAAATCAAGGTCTATATAGTTTGACAAAGTGTAAATTGCTGTGAAAAATGCTTCATGGTTCTCGTTCTCGAAAGAAAATATATTAACATGGTCCTTTCAAAAATAGGAACCGACTGTAGATCTTAGTAAATGACAACCTGGATGTTATGTTTCAATGTACACAATGTAAACCTAGATATTTCCCTGTAAACAGGGACAGACATATACGTCTGATAATATTAGAAAACAAATTTCCATATTTTTTTTTTGTCATGCAAAGTTTGTTTCAAGATCTTATGTGTACAGAATATCATTATTATTTGCAGAATGCATCTTGATATTTATCTGCCCTACATAATCAATTACTTCATTTTTATAAAATGCCATTCTGTTTCACTCCAGTACCATGCGGAGGACCATGTGGACAGAACGCCTACTGTAACCAAGCAACAAACCAGTGTGTCTGTAATACAGGATACTTCCTCTACCATGGATCATGTGCCTGTAAGTATATATTGAAGTTTATATTTTTGTCCGATATGACTTGCCCTGGTCTCCAGTATGTAGATTTTTTGTATCATTGATGATTGGTAAAAATGTATTCGCAATATAATTTTTGCATCAATGACGCCATTTTCAAAGCTAAAATAGATATTTTTCTTGTGCTTAAGGTATATGATGGGTCGGGTGGCGCGGTGGATAGCGCGCTCGTCTTCACCAAGATGGCCGGATTCAATCCCGGTTAACTGCCCGATCACGCGGGTTTTCCCCGGATACTCCGGCTTCCTCCCACATAAAGAATTAAATCCTCCGCGTGTTTCCGTCAGGTCACAAAAAGAATGATTGAAATAAGTTGGGGAAAAACTGTTTAGTAATTGCTATAGAAATAAGTGCATATTACATATTTGACGATAAGACTATAAAAGTAAATCTAAAGAGATGTTAGTTAAAAAAATGAAATTAAAAAACAACAACATTGTGATACTTTGATGTAACTGAAATTTTCGTTATATCGATATATAGTCTGAATTCCTTTTAAATCCTGAAACACTGGATTGAATTTCAAGTTTTGTAACTGTCACTGAGGTTTGACAAGTAATGATGCCTAATGAAATTAATCAGTTTCTGTCTGTATCTAGTTATAAATCGGCATGCGTTGTGAAAAAAGTATACGTTGCTGAAAAATTGCGTTGAACTCGGGTTCGTTGTCTGGACAATTATTGTTGATTTCGACAGAAATGAATTATCCATTGTTTCTGTAATGAGTGGTGATGCATACATAAATTATGTAAAGACTATAACCAGACTTTCAAAAATGTTAATCATTTCGTTCATATTCTCAACAAATCGAAATCAAAAGCTGATGAAATTTTAGACGATGAAAAAGAAATGTACACGTTGACCTATTGGTTTAATGCGGCTCTTTTTGAAAATATCTCCGGTAGAAATTTTAACAGAACATGGTTGATGACAAAAAGGATCTTCAGAAAACATCCGCGTTTTTTTGTGTGCCTGTGGCAAAAACTGAAATTAAAAATCATGAAGCACCGACAAAGAGATAAATGCAACGGCTATAAGTTCCAAGATTTTCCGGTTATTTTTCATCCTTCCAGAAATAACCGATGAAGGCCGATGGATTGTGACGTGCTTGTGACGTCATAGTATGATAATCTCTGAACGACGTTTCATGCCTGCTAGTACCAAAATTATGTGATAGATTTTTTTCACTCAGAATGTATATTAGATTTTACCTAAATAAATAGGTATTGTTTTCACTATATGAAGATGTTCATGTATAGGTTGAAACACAATTGTCTTTGCTTCAAGGATACACTTCCTGTTTCCCCACTGGACGTCTACTTAAAAAAATTACTAATACTAATAATTATGATTATTTGAGGTTCTTATATACCGCCTTATCACAACTTTGTTCGTAGGTCGTCTCAAAGTGGTTCACAAATTATTATCCGTGGGTATAGGGCCTTTACAACCAGCCAATACCTTTTGTAACTCACTAGGGAGCAAACAGCCGATGCTGCCATTTAGACGCTCACAGCTAGCATTCAACAATTCTAGCACTGCCCAACCACGTACTCATCTAAAGAGAAGTAGACTGGAAGAAGCGGAGTAAAGTATCTTGCTCAAGGAAATAGCACAGAGACATGATTGGAACCCACAACCCTTTCGGTCACGAGCCCGGTGTCATACCAATAGACAACCGTGTCTTAAATATGTACATAATGAATACATTTAACAGAGTTTAGATTAGTAGACATCATTTATTGGTGTGTACGTTTTTGTTGATGTTAACCAATTGTTTACTTTATCTGTCCATTACATATTCCAATTGTACTTACATTACAGTGCCTTGTAATGGAGCTTGCGTCTACAATGCCTACTGTGACAAAGGTTCCAACACGTGTAAATGTAACCACGGACTCGTAGGAGACCCTACAAAGAAATGCGGAAGTAAGTATACAACATTTATGTTAAACGTATTGTGTTGTATTTATTCGAAAACCTGTTTATTTTAAGTACAAAAGTCGTTTGTTGGATTCAATGAAGATGACATTTAATTAGTAGAAAGATTGGCAGATTTATTAAAAGTTGTTTTGTTATGTTTTCGCCGTATTTACTTTATTGACTGGATTTGACATTATCAAATTGATAAAACTGTTATTTTCATACTGTGGCAGATATCAAATGTGATATTTGTCACAGTGGAAAGGTATTCAGTTTTAGTATTGGCCAATTATATGCTACTTTCCATTCATTTCAATTGACGCCGTAAATGTTCAGTTCAGTTGCAGATGAAAAAACAAGACGATACAATTAGTAATTGCGTTAGTAGACTTTTACAATAATATATGTACAACTGTGGTATTTACTTAGATACGTAATTGATTACATTTTAAGCAAATCTTACAGAATAATAGCAGAATACTACAGAATTGTGTTAAGTAGCCCGTTATAAACGTTACACAGCCTTGTTGCTAAGCGTGATGTCATTAGATTATGTGTCTCGAATTCCATCACTTTTTCCATGATACGTTTTTTTTAGGAGTAGACGGGACTACAAAAATGAAATAAACAGAAAAAGTATAATGTTTACCATTAAAACGCCATATATATTTCACACGTAGGGCAGAATATATGCCATTCGTGTTTAGCAATTTTGAAAAATATCGGTAATTAGTTATTTTGTTAAAACGATCTATTCCTATAGTATTCAACAGGAAACCTATACATTGTTTTTATATCTGATTGGCAAGCATTAGATTTCTATCGTAAATGAGGTCATTTGTGTAATCCTTTTAATTACAGTTCCATGTGATGGACGATGTGGATCTTTCCCTCACTCCCACTGTGACCACAGCACAAACAGGTGCGCATGTGATACAGGATACGCCGGAAACCCGTACGGAAGTGTCGGATGTGTATGTAATGGCGGACACAGCGGAGGAGGAGGAGGCGGTGATAGTTACGTCGGAGGAAGTAGTGGTGGTAGTTTCCATGGAGGCAGTACTGGTGGTAGTTACGCCGGAAGCAGTACTGGTGATAGTTACACAGGAAGCAGTAGTGGGGGTAGTTTCCACGGAAGCAGTAGTGGGGGTGGTTACCAACCCGCACATGTTGGAGACTATTAATAATTTAATACGTTAATGACCGATCGCTCAGCTTGATGACCAATATTACTTTTATTTAATAAATATATCTTAGCATGCATCAAAACTCTTGTTTTTGTTATATTTGAGTTTATGTGTTCACTTTCTGAAAACATTGACAATATGAAACAAATTGATTTTCTGAAGTATATGCATGATATTATTATTTTCTAAATTACAAGCCGTGAATGCACCTTTTTAAAAATTTCACTTCGAGTCAAATTTGTTTGCATAATGGATTTTTTTATAAAGAATGTGTTGAATTCCAGAAACAAAGTTTTGTGTTTCAGTCTCTCAAACATCATCTTATTAAATCATCAAATGATTTATATGACTTATAATTCTATGTTTCAACCTAATAAACAGTTTGCAACAAATAGCGTATGAAAATACTCTCAATTAAATGCAATGGAGGAATTGTTGTCACTTACTTCTTATTAAGAAAACAAATCATTAGTATTTCTGCCTGTACATGATAATATAATTCATCAATACATTCATAAAGCCCTAACAACTATAATGCTGTTTGATCACTAAGATAAAGCATACTCCCAACAAAAGCAAACAAATATTAAAACTAACTCCCCTCCCCCTATCACCCGTCCCACCCCCCACCTACCCCACCCTCATACCCGTTACGATTTCGGAAATGTTACTCGTAATTATGATATTTTCACAGTAGTCAAGTTATAATTTTACACATTATCCATTTTTGCCAAAAACAAAGACCAGTAAATATAAAAAATATATAGTTTTCGAGAAATTTGCAAATATTAACCTCCATAAAAATATGCCGATATATGGTATAATGTTTTGATATCTTTCAAATAATGGAGCATTTCTGAGAATCAGCCTAAACCTATACTTCTTAACTTTCTAGTCAACAGATAAACCAAACATGAAATGAAAAAAACATTATGTATCAGGCACATAGCATGCAGTTACACCAGCAAAGAAAGTGGTAAAATAGACCATCAAATATTTCATAAACTTATAAACTAACATGAAGTACAGAAAAAAAAATCCTTAGAAAAAATAAATGATCCTTTCACATTTTTAATAAGAACACAAGAAAAGCATTGACATGATGTTAAAAAGTAATATTTATAAAATACAGACAATAAAATATGTCACTTAACAGTATCCTTTTTGGGAGGGAAAAATTAGGCAGGAAAATCAATAACAACAAAATAAAGTTTTTCGCAAATTGTAATCAATAGTCTACACTATCAACACCGCTTGGTAACACCACTAAAGACAAAGCAGAATCAATACCCTAGGCGATTGGTCCAGTGTCTGGTGATAAGGCTTATGATTGGACAACCAATGAGAGTTCACTAAATTAGCTATATCATATTACATACATTGTATACGCCTGACAGACCATTCCTGTATACAAGTATTACGTAGCAACACAGTTGATAAATATATAAAAGCACATACAGCCGCATCAGCTAACATAACAGAACGAATGAAACCTTAAAGCGTGACATATAATTATTTCTGTAGGGTACTAAATATTATGACATATACTTGATTTGAACATATTTATTGCCCCGAATTTGAGCAGAGGATTAGACACAAATTGTATCAACTTATCAACGCCTTTTCCTCTAATACAGTACATATTGATATTTACATGATAGCATTTAACAAGGCATACAAACTATATTTTACAATTATTATATTTTACTTAAAATCAGTTGCTGGATTTGATGAAAAGTTGCACGTGTCTGAATACTTCTGTATTGATATCTACGGACAGATTTTCATTCCCAAATAGAAATATAGAAAAAATGACCAAAATTCTCACAGGAATGTCCACAAGCGCATAATGGATAATCAACAATCTTAACACGGAACAAATCATTTTTCAAACATCTGCACTGATGCCCGAGCTTCGTATGTAATATATTTAAATTGCGTTCGCCAAAATTATAATAAGATGGTGGAGACGAATTTGCACCACTGGATATAGCAGATTTAAAAGTATTTAAAGATGGCAATGTTCTTATTGTATTGTCAAACGAATTCCGAAGACGTAGACTCGATGGGAAAAAAAGAAGAGTTGCTTGAGGAGAGTCTGAAAGAAGATATATTGTAATCATATTGGTTCCGTAAATTGTACCGATTGTTGTTACCCACTGTGTTTGGCAAAAGGGCCGATAAATAGCTGGGAGTTAAATTGTTTTTCAATTCATATTAAATATTCAATTTTCGCCTTTTTCTCCTCTCTGATAATGTTTCTAAACCCGTTTCAAATTATAGTGAATCATTACTTGTATAAGAAGGCAGTCCTGTTATAACTCGAGCTGCCTCTCTTTGAGCTTTCTCTGATTTCTCGGATTCAAAAGCAGTGAAACCATCTTATAATTCACAGGAATATTCAAAAACTGGTAAAATGAAAGTTTTTTTTTTTTTAAAGCGAATCTCTTTTCAACAAGTATTTGAGTTTTCGTAAAACATTCATCTTTTTCATAACCGAACTATAAACTGCCTCAACATGAGTCCCCCATTTTCCATTTGAATTGAAATGTACTCCTAAATGTCTATGTACGTCTGTAGAATTTTAATTTTCCCCATCAAACATCAAATCCAAGTCATCGTCAATATCGTTTGCATTTGAAAAAGAACGTCGGTTTTTTGAGGATTTAAAGAAACCAGTCTGTATTTCATAGCATGGAAAAGCAGAATAAAGTAAGGATGTATCATCTGCAAATAACCTGGAGGCCGAATCAAGTACATCAGTAATATCATTTATATATATCAAAAAGGGAAGCGGCCAAAGTATTGACCCTTGAGGTACACATGCGTCAATATTACCTAGTTCTAACAATGAATTTCCAATTAAAACTTTCTGTTTGTGCCGGTATAGATAAGTGTTTGTAAACTACACGCTGAAACACTTTACCAACTGTAGATAGTAGGGATATTGGTCTATAGTTAAACGGCGTATGACGATCATCCTTTGTGAAAAGCGGCATTACAGTTGCAAGTTTCCATTTATTTGGATATACACACGAAGAAAGTGACATGTTAAAAAGATTTTCAAGTGGTTTCAGATATAGTTAGCAGTATACTTCAGCAGATGATGACTCATTCCATCCCCTCTCGAAGCTTTCCTAAGCTTTAAATTTGTAAAACATCTTTTATTTCTGAATGATTTAACCGCAAAGATACAAAACGTTAATCTGCTTTGGATTTAATCATCGGAACTGGAATATCAACATCATTAACACGGGTTATGCTACAAAAATAACTATTAAGTAAACGGGCTTTTATCGTTATCGTTTGAAAAAGAACTATTTGTTGCTGGGTCCTTCATTGTAGGAATGTTGTGATAATGTCCACCAGATTGCATAAGTCGTTTCAATAGTTTCGAATAAGATTTTGGATCAGAAGAAGCGTAATCGTCAATAAGTCCATGTAGTTTTTCGTAAAAAAGGAGACGGGCATTTTTTTCTTATTATTTATCTAGTTTCGCTGAGCTTTAGATTTGTCAATGTCTAAAAAGTGGAGTGAAAAGTAAAGTGTTGCCCTGGCAATTTTATGCACTCGATCACGGATTCTCAAATGTTTTCTAAGTTCAGATGTCATCCAGGGCTTGTCGTTAGGTCGAACTGTAACGTTCTTTTGAGGGTATACATCTATTCATAAATTCGAAAAAAACGCCAGTAAAATTGTCACACGCAGTATCAACCGAGCCACTTACAGAAAACAAAACAGTCCAGTCATATTCGTCAATAAGGTCATATAGCATGTCAAAGTCGGCTCGTTTGTATAACCAAACTTTCCGTTGGAAAGAGGTTTGGTAAAACAGGTAAATACAATAACTACAATACAACCTTCATGATCACTTACTGCTCTATCAATAGGTAAAACTGAAGACTATTTACAAGTAAGTGAATCTGATAATAAAATGGGGTAAAGTAAACTAGATATAGATGGACCAATTCTTGTAGGTTCATTTGTAACGATTTTCAAGGAAAACTTGTTAATAAAATCAATAAGGACATGGTTATTTGAAACAGTTAGTAAATCAACGTTTAGATCGCCTACAATAACTACATTGTGAGATGTATCTAATGGACTATCAATCGATGCTTTTAAATTTGTCCACAACATTTTGACATAGTATTCAGGCCTATAAACTGTACCAATTATTAGATTTGATCTGGGCAATGTAATTTGTATCCCTATCACTTAATCACCAGGGTATTATATTAGCTTGTAAGCGACATACTTTCAGTAAATTATTTACATAGACTAATGAACCACCCCTCGCAAAGTTTCTGTCTTGTCGAAAAGGTTCATGAAAATCGGCTATATGTAATTCGTCAGTAGATACTTTGTCATCCAAGTGTGTCTCAGTCAGGCATATAATGTCATACTCACTAGCTATGCTCTCTATATAATCTAACTTATTGCGAAAACCTCTAATATGTAAATGAAAAATCGAAAGTTCCCAAAGTGCTGGGCCGGGATTGGATTCAACATCCATGTGCTGAAGCAGAAGTAATAATAAAAGTATCATATAAGTTCCGAATATTGGTTAACATAACATGATTTAATAGTGTGATCAAATTAGTGAACCAGCCATGTAGTAAAAGTACTAAACGAAATATTGAACCTATATGCAAAGTAAATGATCTCTTAAAACATCTGCCGTAGACCTTGGAATAGAAAATTCCTATCGCCATTCTGTGACCCATGTAGTCATCACCCATTGTCGAGAAATGAATACCTCGAGGTCACAGAATGGCGATACAATTTAGCATCAGAACATCGTGCAATCCAGTAACATATGAAATCTAGAAATGGTCTATATGCAATCGCTACAATACAGATACAACAAAGTAGCAAACGCTTTGCATACATATTTGATTCAAAGTCAAAAGAAAAACAAACACAAAAAAACAAACCAAAAAAACAGTGGCTTTGATTTTTAAAAAATGACTTTGATGCATAATTTTCTTTTAGCAAATCTGTAAACATGATATAAAATAGACATTTTATATGATAATGATACAGAGCAAAAACCTGACTTTCATTGAAGCTTGAAATAGG